GCACAGGTCATGTGGCCACTTGCAAGAAGCTGGCTACCCTCAGGCCAAAATGTGCAGATACCACCTGGACAGGCAGGTGAAAGGAAAGAGGGGTGTCTAGGGGAACCCCATACTTTCAGCCCCAGAAACCAGTCCACATGAGCCCCTGGGAAGGCCATTACAAATTTCCACAAATGTAGTGGCTAAAACAACAGAAATTTGTTCTCTCCTAGGATTGGAGGCTGGAAGTTCGAAATGAATGTGTGGGTAGAGTGTGCTCCCTCTAGAGGCCCTAGGGGCAGACCCTTCCTGCTTCTCCTGGTTCTTGGCGCCCCAGGCGTCCGCTGGCTTATGGCTGCATCGCCCCAACCTCTGCCTCTGTGGTCAGGCGGCCACCTTCTGGCGTCTGTGTCTCAAATCACCTTTAACAACACTTGTCATTGAATCCAGGGCCCTAATCCAGAGTCATCTCACCTCAAGATTCTCGATTAATTACAACTGCAAAGACACCATTTCCAGACAAGATCCCATTCTGAGATTCTGGACAGATGTGACTTTGGGGGGATACCATTCTACCCCCTGAAAATCCCGTGGGGTAAACCCAAGTACTACCGCTATTTGGCTGCACCACATGCAATCCTGGTGCCAGTACATGTCACCAAGACGCTCCTAGGTCCTAACCCCCAAGGAAATTGCCTATATAAGGACTGTTATTTTAAGCCACTAGGGCTTGTGGAACTTGTCACCAGTCCACAGATAGGGCAGGAACCAACAAACTTTTCCCTTTTCCAGGGTTTTTGAAACCTTGAATTCATCAGATGCCTCCCAAGACAGGTTGGGTCCCTCCCTCCTGCTGTCCTCTGGGGGTTGAAAGGGGGAGAAGGGCCCCCCAGAGAGAGGAACAGACACCAGCCCTCTCAAACCTGGGGGTGAGTCCCAAGAAAACAGCTTGGTCCAGGTGGCGACGAAGGCTGCAGGCCCCCTCACAATCTGTGATACAATCTGTGCCCAGACCCATGAGGGCCTGCCCCTCCTCCCTCCCTCCCCTACCCATCAACTTGCTGAGTGCCATGGCTCCACACTCTGGTCAGCCCGGTCCTGATGATCTCCTCCTGCTGGCTTCCTGGCCTCCAGCCACACTGCAGGGACCACCACGGAAAGTGCCTGAGTCACTGGGGTCTTCCTGTCCCTCAAATTCCATGTCAGATATCTCTGCTGGTCCCCTGCCCGGCAGCTTGCCACATGCCATCCCCAAGTGGGGCCTCTCTCCCTCCCCTACTGACCTCATCTAGAAGTTAGAGCAGGGAGGTTATGTGGGCACCAGGGACCCCCTAGCAGACTAGGGAAGTCCATGAGCTTCTTCTCAGAATACGGTTTTATTACTACCTAACATAAATGATGCACCATCAGAAACAGATCCAGTTATCAAAAGTTTTAAGATTTTCGTGGCATGTGACTTCAGGGGCAACAGGTTTCTATTACCTCTATGAGGATGATGGTTTCCAAAATGTACTGAGTGCAGTTATCACTTTCCAGACTGTATACATCCAGGGTGTCCTTCTGACTGCGTTCAGCTCCATAATGCTGGAAGACATGGAAATGAAGCATTGTGCAGAAGGGGGCATGGAATGCAGCACTGTCATTTCTGTCAGCCTCAGTTGCCAGCTCCAGAGATGAAAAAGCTAGCTGCAGGCTGACAACCTCTGTAATTTCAGTTAAGCAGGGAACAGAAACAAGATTTCACGGTTCCTGCAACAGCCATGACAAGACATATAATTGTCTTGAGGTTTCTGTTGCTGACAACATCATAGGTCCAGTGCATACCGCTATTTGGGAACGTCACCTATATTCAAAATTGGAGGGGATGGCAAATATCAGTCAGAGGGTCCTAAAAACAAAGACATGCTCTTTGGCATCCCAGTGCGAAGCTCACTGAGAAGCACTCCCTGGATTCGCCTTACCTATTGTCTGCCCAGACATGAAGTGAGACCAAGAACCAGGTAAGAAACATCTTTCCCAGTGAAGCTGGCCTTGTAGAGAGCACTGCCAGGCACAGGAGAGCTGAGATGAGTGTTCAAGAACTGCACATTCCCAGATAGTGCCCAGGAAAAGGGAGAAAAGCCCTGGGTAGGGAATGGTCCTGGGCTGTTCCTGTGAGCTGGGCCAGAGAGAGGATGCAGGGAAGGGAGGAGCCTGCATGATACGGGGACACTGAGGCAGGAGTGGGTATGCTCAAAGAGTCTCAAGGTGAGAGAGGCCCCAGAGTCAGCCCACTCACAGGCATGGAACTGGGCCATGGTCCTCCCACTGACCCTTGACCGTTGTGCAGCTCTCAGTGGGCACACCCCCATGCCAAACACAGGCTTCTGACATAACCTAGCTGTCCCCAGACTCCAACCCAGGCCCAGGACAAGGGGCAGAATGGCCTGGGGATGGGGCAAGAAAATGGGCATGGGCATGGAGGGCATGCCGGTGCCGTCCCAGGACCCACACCACCAGAACAGCTGTAATAACCCCTGAAGCCTGCACCAGGAGGGGCATGCAGGAGAGAGGGCTTTGAGGGTGGTCCGAGAGAAGAGGGGCTCCGAGCTGAGCAGAGGGAAGGGCTGGGCCCTCTTCACATCCCACCTGTATCTGGGACAGAAACCTGTCTCAGGGTCCCCTCTGGGCTCAGGGGTTCTTTAAAGGCCAGCTCACCAGGGGAGGGCAAGCAGGCAGAGACACTCCAACCTGCCCACCATCCCGAGAAGATTTTTAAGAGGATACAGTTCTGCAACTAGGTCCTGGGTGTTGAGTGCCTTAATAAGTACTGAGCTCCCTATCACTGGAGGAACCCAAGATAATGTTGCAGCCTACAGAAGCACTGAAGCTCCAATGTCTTCAGAGGCAGGGTAGGGACAGAGGAAGAGACGCTGGCAACAAACATGCTAGGATCCGAGATCCAGGGGCTCAGTTCAAACTGTGTGACCTTGGGTGGGCTTGCAACCTGACTGCCAGTAGGCTGGCACACATGTTGCCCACCTCACAGATGCCACACATAGAAGCTGCATGAAGTACTTACCAGGCTGGGGGTCTTAGAGGGTGTACTCATATTCCCTCTCCCTCCTGCCTCGGCCCCTTTGCTCTTTCTGGTATTTCTGTTTCTCTAACCATCCTTCCCAGGGTTTAGCATCCCTGTGTCTGACCTTGTCTCTGGACTCAGGAACCCCCCCAGAGGGGAGGAACTTAGCCCCAGACTTCTGCTCTGGTAATGCTGAAGGTGAGGATCTGGGCTGGGGGCTTTGAACCTGACAATGGATGTGGCCATGGACGCTGGCAGGCACTCTAGCTGGCTCACTCTGCCCTCTCCTGGCCAAAGCTGGGCAGGTACACAGCTTTTCCATCCCTGGAAAGGGGACAGGGAGGTCCTGGTGGGCATTAGGGCCTCATTTTCCCTAGGCAATTGCCTAGTACCTCCTGGCTCTCTAATGTCTCCTGCTTGGGGCAGGGATCCTTCCTCTGACGTGCCCACCCTGGGCCCCCATACCTGTCTGGTCTGAAGACACCCTCTTTTCCCAAGGTGGGGGCCAGACCAGGAGAAAAGAATCAGGAAGCAGGTAAATTCAGTAACCTGGGGTTTACATAGGAATCCACCTTATTTTTTAAAACTGTGTATGTATCTTTGACATGCTCCTTCCTGTCTATTTAAGGATGCTCCTGAGGACACAATCATTTACAGGCATTCAGCTGTGGGTCAGTTCTCTAGCGAAGAGAGCCGGTACCACCAGAAGGTTCTGTGCCCCTCTCTGGAGATACAAAACCCTGAGGGAACGTTGAGTGAGCATTGTGATGTGTTTAAAGCAATGGGGGGGGGGGGGGGCANGGGGGTGGCAGAAGTTGAGGTGCAGAGCACACACTAGGTCTTCCATAAATGATGAGGTCTGGGGGAGGCTGGGGCTCAAAACAAGAGTCTGGCTCACAAAATCTAGGGCCCTCAGCCTCTCGGAAGAGAAGGTCATCAGTGTTTGGTGCAGGAGGGCTGCCTGGGGGGAGTGGGCAGCCCCAGGGAGGGCTGGTAATGTCCCAGCCACCCCAGCACAGTACGGAGGCCCCAAGAGGAGTGGGTAGGTGGGGGGGCAGGAGAGAGGTGACAGGAGGCTGCCGGCATGCTCCACAACTCATGTCTTTTGTCTGCCAGGCAGGCCCCTGGACCAAGGCCCAGGTAATGACCTGCTTTGTGCTCTCCACAACATGCAAGATACCCAGTGAAGGCTGCCCCAGCAATCCCACCTATGCCTCTTGATTGGGGGACCCATCACAGCAGCTGGAGGATAGTACAGGAGAGAGTTCAAGTAGCACAGAAGTGGAGCGATGGTACGGGGGTGAGGGGGGGGGGGGTTGGGTCGGCAGGCCACTGTGAGTTCCCAAGTAGGGGGCCACAGTAAGGCCCGAGCCTGGATGTGGAGAGGAACGACAACAGGCCCCCTCTCCCTTCTGATCAGCTTCGGGAGGCTTCCCAGAGGTGGGGCTCTCCTGTGTCACCTGGATCCCGCTTAGGTGGCACCCCAGGGCAGCACTGTTCCCTGCCCAGCTTTGGCTTCTTGCTCCACCCGTGCTACTAGATGCCTTCTCCATTTGATCTTGACTCTTGCTTCTCCAGGTCGCTCCACGACCGCGCACAGGACAGCGTGGGTCCCTGCGGTCACCGGGGCTGAGGCTGGAGACGGGAGCTGGCATCCAGAACGGCCGCCCCGGGACCACAGAGCCCGCCTGGGACTCAGTCTCTGCATCTGCCAAATGGGCTTGAGAACTCACCCCCGGGCAGATTACCGACAGGCGCGCGCAGGCGCAGCCGGACTCTGCCTGGGCTGGGCGCGCTGGGGAAGCGGGGGGCGCGCGCAAGCGCAGCGGTGTGCGAGGCGTCCTCCCTGGGCCCCGCGCCTACCCAAGGTCCCGTCCCTACCTCCCGCACAGAGTCTGCGCGTGCGCACCGCAAAGGGAGAGTGGGTGGGACCGCGGGGGGGACTGCCCCGTTCCCCAGCGTCCCCCGCGGTAGCAGGCACTGACGTGGCCGCCGTCAGAGCCGCCATCTTGTGGGAGCGAAACCAACGCCTGCCTCCGAGCAGCATCTGCGCCGCGGCCTCCGAGGGTGAGGCTGGGCTGGGGCCGAGGCGGGGGCGGGGGCCGAGTTGAGGCCCGGCGCGAGGCTGAGCCGGGGCGGTGAGGGCCGAGACAGGGGCCTGGGGCCGGGGAGGGGGTCTGTCTGGCCACCCTCTCACCAAGCCCCCCAGAGTGGCCGGGGCGGGCTCCCGGAAGTCCGGCCCGCAACGCGGGCTCTCCAGGAAGCCCCGCTTTTGCTCCGCCTCCGAGGCCTCCTGTCTTGGGGTCGCAAAGACCAGGAAACTGAGGCCCGCAGCCCGGGACACGGCCAAGGTCACAAGATGGCCAGGGTTTGAGCCCAGTTCCTGTTTATTCTGAGGACAGAGCCGGCGAGGCCGGGCGGAGCCCCGGGTTCCTAGGCGCGTGCTGTTGCGCTTGGATCTGAGTAGGAGCGCCTATGGCCAAGGAAGCCCTCGATGGACGCGCCTATGGCTTTGTAGGGCCCCTTTATCCAAGACTGCTGCAACCCCGGGATTGCTTCCTGGGTGCCTTTGATATGGATTAGAGTGCACTTCCGAGCTGGTGAATCTTTAACCTACCTATAGAACGCGATCTGGCCGGAGTTGAGGCAGCCTCCCTAGCAAGCGTCCTAACGCTTTCCAGTCCAAGCAGTTATGGACGGTAAAACAGTAGCTTTGTTAATAAGGCTTGGCAGTTAATTTTCAGAGTATTTAAAATATTAGCTAACCAGTTGAGCACTTTTCAGCGCTCAACAGAACACCAAGTTGCTGTTTCTAGCGAAATCGCACAAGAAATCACTGGCAGGAGATGGGCAATTCAAACGCTTTGGGTGGCCCCGGAAGTCACTGTTGAGAACTATGTAGTTGTAGTCGTAACTGATGTAGTTGGTGTTGGAGTGGTCAGTTCTTGTTCTTATTTCAGAACTAGTGGTCAGCGTTTTTTTTTTTTTTCCCTGCTGGCTGTTTGCATGGTTGCTCCTGCGTTTTTGGCAGAGTGTCTGAAGGAGTGTGAGATGCCATGGCGTGTGCTGTGTCCTTGGGAGTTTTCAGAAACCATCATGAGTAGCCAAAACTGGAAGAACTTTGGATGCATAGTGTTGCTGAGACCAAAATTTTGAGTAATTGAGTGTATGTGTTTATTACAAATATGGCCACTCTGTTACAGTGTGCTATCTTCCTCCCATAAAGGTTTTCTCTAGTTAATGGGTAGAATATAATGTGTCCCTTCACTGGGAATGTCCTGTTGAAAACAAACCCTTGTCACTTGGTCATTAGAAATCTGTTCCTGTGATAGCTAATTTCAGATACAAGTGTTCAAAATTGCTACTTCAGAAAGATTTAAAATAGTTGGTTTGGATGATAGCTGACTCACATACTGTCTGCTCATCATTGTAAGAAAGTTAGAAAGCAAAAACTGGTTCTGTGCTTCTCACAGTTCTGGTTTTTTAAATTGTGTGGTTTAGCTATTTGCTTTGCCTCTTGCGCAATGTGAAGGGGACGTTCAGACCTGCTAAGCCACCTTTTCCAAAGATCACGACAGGCTTGAAACTACAACAAGGTATGCCTTGAGTTTTCTGTTGTCTTTAGTAAAATTTAGTATGGACCCTCGAGTTGCTCTCCATGGTCAAATGGCCTTAGGAATAAACCTAACAAAGTGGGGAAAACGCTTGTGCAAGTTCATAAATAGTATATTCACTTGGTTTGAGAGAGTTGAATCAATTTTCTTTGAGTTCTTCAAATTGGATGTTGCCTTGATACATGAACTTAAATCTGCTCTTGGTCACAGGTCAGGCTCACCGAGCATTTCTGTAGCCCTCCTGAGCACTGTGATCCCTTACCGAGCTGGTGTTCAAACCCATCTAGCCTGTGCTTCCTATACCACTTATGACTGTCTCTGTGCACGGCATTCCATAGTCTCCCCTTTGACCTTCCAACCTTTGTAGGATTAGGAGAATGAAGGAAGTAAAATGCACATCTGTCAGAGGTTGGAAAAGAAACATGAAAAATTCCTTTCATTTGGGATCTTAAAATTAGGTAAGAACTTAATCTCTTTTGTGATCCGTCTGCTCCTCATTGATGTGGATGGTATTAGAAATGTCCTCCTAGCACCATCTGAAGTGGTCTTTTGGAAATGTTCTTGCCCTAACAGTGGGTTGGGTGTAATGCTTCCTACTGGCAAGTAAAGGAGGGCTTGGAATGTGTGAGTATGAGAAAGGGTGGTTGGTTAATTTCAGACTGTGAGCCAAGGTGAGGGGAGTGCTTCATCCTTATCCTTCTGTGATTGTTAAAAATTCTCTAACATATAGCACCTGTTACAGCTATACAGCTGTAACACTGTTCTGCAAGGTGCTTCAGCATTCTTAGATGGATCAGATGGCCCGATTAGCTAGAAAAAATGTGGCAGAATTTAACACAAACACATCAAATGCTCCTTATTTGTAGGAGAATCTGTTAGGCCCTCACTCAGTTCTTTCACTTAAGCTTCCTTGTATGAGTGGGAAGAAATAGTGAAGCTATCTGTTGCAGGAACTTACCTCAATATTCCTAACAAACCCATGTTTCCTGACTTTTGCATATGTTGGAGACTGAGCTCGGCAGCCTTTCATTGGCAAATAGGAAGGGAAGTATAGGACTTCTCACTGACTAAAAGAGACAGAAAACATCCAAGGCAGGCAGATTTTTACACACATAGCACTTGGGAGTGATTCTCTTTAGGAGGCAAACATTTTTACACACCTGAGGCGACAGAGGTGACTGTTAGTATACAGCATAAATTAACAAGAGTCCCAGTTATGATCCATGCACAGTTTCAGAAGTAAAAAATGTAGAGTATACTTTAGAAACATGTTTAATGAGAATGTTTAATGAGAATTTAGTAAGTTTTTGTCCTCTGAAAGATGCTAGCAAGTTAGTAGAATTTGTCTCCAAAGAACAAGTCATGAGTAAAATAGCCAGCATCTTTCAGCTTGTATTGTACATCAAATTATTTTTGCAGTGCTATATGTGGGTGCTAAACAGAAAGTTGAGTGGTGCTAGGTCTCTTGAGGCCCTGGAAATTTTTTAACATGATGTTTTAAGTATCCTGTCAGTTTGACATAGGGACAAATGACCAAGAAAACAATTTCAAGATTCTGTCTAAATTCATATGTGCAAAGTAGGAATAAAGGCAAAGTTAGATGTGCCAGCATTTTGAGCACAGGTTTTAGAATAAAAGATATCTTTAAAAATTGCTATGAAGAGTAGATTTTCCTGTGGAGTTTTCTATCATCTGTAAATGAGCATGCAGTTCCTAACTCACTGAATCTTGTCAGTTCTGGTGATGTAACTTTGCTTAAAATAATTATAGTTTTTAACATTTCTCTTCTATCAAAGTGATACGAGGTCTTGAAAATTCCTGAGGAGATCAGTGCAGATGTATTAGTCACTAGTTTCAGGTACCCGAGGGCAGGTTTAGGAAGCAGATTGTGTACACACCCCTTTTGTGGCATTGAACATTCCTCAGATGCACACGTTTGCCCTGAGTAGTTAACTGTATCTCGTATTTCCTCCTCACTGGGATGTCAAAGAAATGTTCGGATTCCACCACACTCATACATACTTTTAAACCAGTGTGAAATTCATCATAGGTTTTTTTTTCCTGACAAACTAATTTTTTAGAAAAACGTGTGATTAATCTTTATATTTTTTAATCCTTAAAGCCCTTAAATATTCTTTTATGATTCTTTTCTCCTCTCCTTGTCTGAATCTCTTGGGTGCCCAGGGGGGTGGCCAGTGGAGAAAGACAAGTAGAGATAGGGAGGTGAGTGAGGGAAGGTGGTGAGGGCTGGGTGGAAGGTGGAGGGCTGTGGCAGTGAGTGGAGTGGGAAAGCAGGCCCACGGGACCCGAAGGAGGAGTGGGCACTGAGTGTAGCTAGTCCGGCCTGCCAGGAGGAGCGCCACGTGAGCAGAGGTGTAAAGGAGGGGCTCCTGTGGGTCTTTGGAAGAAACGGGGGAAAGCAGCAGCAGAGGCCCTGAGCGGGGAGTGCATTGGTGGTTGTGGAGCCTTGCTGGGAGCAGAGGAGGGGAGGGTGGCCTGCTGGTGTGTGCCTGTGGTCCTTGAAGGGGAGGCCCCACAGAAAGGGTATTTTGGAAATGTGTGGGATGATTTTGGGCTCTGTCAAAGATGAGAGGCAATACTGATATTTAGAAGCAAGAATGCATTATGCATGACTTTCATGTAGGTGAAAAGGCTGTTTATATCTTAAACCTAATTCTGTTTATGTACAGAGTCAACTTGTGTGTGTATGGTTTTAATTGAAGGTGCTCAGGCGTATTCGACTCCTTGTGACCCCATGAACCTCTGTCCATGGGATTTCTCAGGCAAGAATATTGGGTTGGGTTGCCATGCCCTTCTCTAGGGGAATCTTCGCAACCCAGGGATTGAACCTGGGTCTCCTGCATTGTAGGCAGATTCTTTACCATCTGAGCCACCAGGGAAGCCCTTGGTTTTAATAGATGTTCTGAATTCTCCAAGAATAAAACTACCTTGTAAATTAAGGGTGATTGTATTTGGTTCTTTGCAGAATTGTACCAAGAGTTGGTATCTGTTTCCAGGTAGGGGAAGAAAAAAAAAACTTGGTGGACACACCAGGCCTTGAGTGTCAGTAATGCTGCTGCATTTGTGATGGTCTTCATTAGGTGGTTCTCTGACTGCCTCCCTTGAATTTGTGGTCATGACCAGTATTGAAGGTCACATTTTATCATATGACACTGTCTTTCATTTCCTAGTTACATTTTAGTTGGGGCAGCATGGGTTTTTTGCAGTCCAGTGAGTATGTTGGTTATATTGTCTCCTAGCTTCCTTCTGAATGGTAGAGGTGATGCTGTGAAATGCATGGGAGTGTTGGCTCTGATCTTTTTAAGGAACCTGAATTTGGTCTGATCTTTCCTAATAGTCCCCTCTTGCTGGCATCTGAAACACCTTGTGGAGTGACAGCTACAGGCTTTGGGAATGCCAGAGGGCGGGAGATATGGTGACCAGGACCATGTA